AGCCACGGGGTCCCGGCCGGCCCCGCCCCGGAGAGAGCCTGGGGCGCATCGCCGCGCCCGTCGCCTCCGTCCTTCCCTGCCTCGGGTCCCGGCCCCAACCAGGCTGCGCAGTCAGCTGTGAGCTTCGATCTCGCGATTCCAGCGCCCCAAGGTCACACACCTCCGCAGAGGTAGAGCCAGGGTTAGAGCCGGGTCTTCCCGCGCCCGACCCCGGGCAATTCCCACTACCCGGCGCTGTCTCCGAGGCACCGCGAGATGTGTGAACGTTCCGGGGCTTTGGCCCGCGTTATCGCTTTGGATCCTCTATTCGCCCCGCGAAGTAGGAGGGGCGGGGATAAATCCCATTTGGCGGCTGAGGAGGTGAAACCCGAGAGGCTAATAATCAGCCCAACGTCACACTGCGAGTTTAAACGCAAGTTTATATGAGCTCAGGGCCGCATATTAGCGGGGCAGATGATGCTCTTGCCCTGCCTCATATCCAGGTCCCTTAGTGGGTCGCGATTCCCTTCCCGTCCTCTAGTCCCGGCGAAGATTCAAAAGGGACCCGACAACACCAAGGCGCGCAAAGGCGCCACAGTGACGCTGACGGCGGAGATCATGGGCGAGCCTGCGCCCGACGTGGGCTGGACCAAGGACGGGGAGGACATCGAGGAAGACGACAGGCGAGGGCTGGGACCGGCGGCAAGGGCAGGGCCTGGGGCTGCAACCTGGGCGCGACTGAGCCCAAAAGACCAGCGGAGGCGGGGTGGGGGCGGGGACCTGGGAGGAGGCGACCAGAGCTGGCTAATGCGCCAGGCCCAGGGCGCGCGTCAACTGACCCGCGGCCTCTCCCTCCCTCCCCCCGCCACCACTCCCCAGGGTGTTCTTCGAGATCGGCAGTACCACTACGACGCTGACCATTCGCCGGGCCACGCCCCAGGACAGCGGCAAGTACGAAGTATACGTGGAGAACAGCCTGGGCATGGACCAGAGCTTCGCTCGCGTGGACGTGGCCTGAAAGGGACCCTCAGCTCTTTTGCCCTGGCTGCAAGCCCGGGGTGGGTGGGACCCACAACCCTGCTCCATCTTGCTTAATAAAGCCGCTCTCTCTGACCCTCCGCGTCGAGTGTGTCCTCTGGCGTCGCCATCCCTTTCCCTGGCACCCGCGTCCAACTTATTCCAGGCCCACACACCAAGATTACAGAAGGTTGCATTCAGAGGGAAGTCTGGAGAGGGCCTAGTTCAGTGCTTCATTTTGCAGACAGTAAATCTGAGATACGGTGTCTTACCGTCGGACGCTACTTCGCCTCCCAGAGGGACTGGCAGTAGCCTGTGGTCCCGCCTTCTTCTCTTTTTTTGTGCCTCAAGCCCCGCCTCCGCGCGGCTGTCGGCGTCTGGCTCCGCCCCCTCGAACTCTGGCCACGCCTCCCCGGTCTCCAGTTCCGCCTTTCCGGCGACCTGGTTTTCTACTTCGGCTGCTGCTCTCGGGCCCATTCCTCCGCAGCTCGGGTTCCAGTCTTAGGTTCCAGCCTTTGCTTCCCAGGCCCCACCCTCGTCTCTTAACTCCGCCTCCTCAACCCCTTGGCTATGGCCCCGGGTCTGGCCACCGCCTTCCTTCTCTCTCCAAAGAAGGGGGGAGGGAGCTTCAGAACTACAGTTCCCGGTAGGCCCTGCGAAGTAGTTCTCGCGAGTCGCGAGAAGACACGTGTGCGGAAGGAGCAAGCCGTCGCCGGCGGCAGAGCAGGAATAAAGGGGGCTGGTGGTAAAAGGAGCTGGTGGAGGGCCGCCGGGAGGGGTGAGGGGCGTGGACGGCCCCCGACGGAGGGCGGGCTCGGAGGTGCCGGCTGGCCTTTTGCGCGACCGCTCTGGTGTTGGTCCCACAACCCCTAGCCACGAGAGGCTAGGCGTGTTTTGACAATCGGTTGTGGGATTCAGAGGTTCAGCAATCAGTCCTTCGAATCCAGAGGTTCAGCACCAGTCGTCAGTATTAGGACTCCGGGGTCAGTAGGTCTAGTGTTTGGGATGCCAAGGGAACCTGTCTTGTGATCCGGGGTTCAACATACAGAGGTTAGTTTTAGGACCCATGTTCAGTACATAGAGGGTTTTTGCTAGGATCGGGGGATCAGCAAATGCAGATTAGTGTTACTTCAATATATGGAATTTATGTTTAGGATCGAAGTTGAATATCTGGGGCTCATTCGGTTTGCAGTTCCTTTATCAGGGTTCAGTATTGGGATTCAGGGCTTAACATCTAGAACGAGGGTGCAACAGTTTGGGAATCAGTGGGTTTGCGTTTGAGGTTTCAGTTTTTTGAGGTTTGAGGTCTGAAGGGGGTTTCTGGATTTGCAGAATTCGTTCATGGCAGAAGGAGGTCTGTTAGAGATCAAATTGTGGAGTGTGTTTCAGAATTTGGTAGGAATCACTGTGCGGTTTGAGGGCCGACTGGAATCTGGGTTGGGATTTGAGATGTGTGGGATTTGTGAGGTGTTGTGTCCAGGCAGGGACTATATTGAGCTTTGGGTTTATATCTTGGGAGAGGGCTCAGTGTTGCTATTTGGGGTTTGGGGTTTGGTTGGGATGTGAGATCTGAGCCCAATTTCTCTGTTGGGATTTGAGATATGAGATGTGTGGGATTTGTGAGGTGTTGTATCCGGGCAGGGATTATATTGAGCTTTGGGTTTACATCCTGGGACTGTGCTGAGTGTTGCTATTTGGGTTTTGGGGCTTGGTTGGGGCATGAAATCTGAGCTTGATTTTCTGTTGGGATTTGAAATTTAGGTAACAGTCACCATCATGCTCAAAGCCGTGATCCTGATTGGAGGCCCTCAAAAGGGTGAGGGCCAGGAAAATGGGAGGAGGAGGCTGGTGGGGAGAGGGAAAGAAGAACACAGGAAGCTAAAATGTTCTCTCTCCTCTCCCAGGGACTCGCTTCAGACCTTTGTCTTTTGAGGTGCCCAAGCCACTGTTTCCTGTGGCAGGGGTCCCTATGATCCAGCACCATATTGAGGCCTGTGCCCAGGTAACCCCACAGATTCCCCACTCCTCTTGCTCTTTTCGTTCATGCCATATTTCCCCCTTTCCCGACCATGAGCTCTTCCCACCAGACATAACTCCAGGGACCATAATTCACAGATGACAGTGTAAATGGCACTCTCAAGTTTTGCTCTGCAGCTGTCCTGCTGTCTTCCCCTAATCTAGTCTCTCATCTGGCCTTTTCCTGTTCAGATTTCGTTCCTGTTTTTAAAGTACGGATATGAGATCAGATAGGGACCTTAGAGACAATTTGAAACCATGACATGGGGACTCTTCGTGATAACCAAGCACAGAATTCATATGTTTAGTTATATGGAGCTCATTTCTTTATTGCTTTTGATATTGGGACAGGCAAAATTTTGGTTTGAATTCAGTTTCTGCCTGCTGTGAGGTCTGGAGCAGATTTCATTCCCTCTGATCCTCAGCTTCCGTATCTGTGAAATGGAAATGATTAGACCTACTTTGAGGGATGGCAGAGCTTAGAAATGACATTTGTAAAATGCCTAGTGCAATGCAGACCCTTGATAAATGGTACCCTTACCTTATGCTAATCTCAAGCTTAGGCTGACAGATAATAAACATGGGAGGAAAAAGCCAAAGGCAGTTGCCCATGCCTGTAATCCTAGCACTTTGGGAGTTGGAGACGAGAGGATTATCTGAGCTCACAGGTTCGAGACCAGACTGGTCAATATGGTGAGACCTTGTCTCTACAATGAACCAAAAAATTAGCCGGGTGTGGTGGCACACCCCTATTGTTCCAGCTACTTGGAAGGCTGAGACAAAAGGATCGTCTGAGCTCACCCAGCAGGTCGAGGATGGGTGGCCATGAGCGTGCCACTGCACTACAGCCTGGGTGACAGAGTGAGACTCCAACTCAAAAAAAAAGAAAAAAAAAAACCATGGGGATAATGAATGGATTATCCTTTAATGCAGCTTGGTAGGCAAAGTATCCTAGAGTGAGTCCCAGTGTAGGTGGGTTGGGGTAATAAAAGACTGAAAAGCTCAGACCTGAAACTTTCTTCTATCTTCCTCATTGTTCAGAGGGAAAACAGGCTGGAGTGGTAAGATGAGTGCCAGGGGCTGCCAAGCTGAGGTTGAAACTGTGGTCTCTGAACTTTGGGCCAGAACCAGGGGTTTCCCTAACATTCCCTCCTATCAAATATGTTTCCTCCCTACCTCTTTCGTTGTCCTCAGGTTCCTGGGATGCAGGAGATTCTGCTCATTGGCTTCTACCAACCTGATGAGCCCCTTACCCAGTTTCTAGAAGCTGCCCAGCAGGAGTTTAACCTTCCAGTCAGGTGTTTGTACATACATACATATATAGGGGATCGGGGTACCCAGGGCTCTGAGTTCTTGGGAGTGGGCTGAGTCAGCATTTGCCAGAGTTCACCCTCACATACTAGAAGGATTCTTGTTTGGGCATATCAGAATTCCAGAATATATATAGTTTCTCGATGGTTCTTGGGCAGGAGTACTCCTGGGAGCTGGCGGGGGTCAGGTACCCTAGTTCATGGTATCTGTTTCCTCAGGTCCACTGAGCTGGCTCTGGGGTCTCTGGGGACAGGTACCTTCAGGAATTTGCCCCGTTGGGCACAGGGGGTGGTCTCTACCACTTCCGAGACCAGATCCTGGCTGGGGGCCCAGAAGCGTTCTTTGTGCTCAATGCTGATGTCTGCTCTGACTTCCCCTTAAACGCTATGTTGGATGCCCACAGATGCGAGCGTCACCCTTTCTTACTCCTTGGCACCACGGTGAGGGGGCTGGGGAACTGGAAGGTATAAAGGGGTGATCTGGAGAGCTTCTTGGAATGCAGGGTGTTGGGGAGGCAGGGGTAGCCCCTGGGAGTTGGAATGGGAGCTGGTGTCAGGAGGTAGATGTACTGCTCCAGCAGAAATGAGGTGACAGTAGAGACCCCGAGCCCTTTGGCTGTTCAGAAGTAGGGAGGGGGAGAGCAGCTGTCAGTTCTCACCCTTGCTGAAGGCCTGTCAGTGGCAGAGCTGCGTGCCAGGTGCTGTAGGGGAGAGAAAGAAAGAAGGAGAAAACAGACCTGCCTGCCCTGGAGCAGGCGGGTCACTGTGTCGGGTGTGTCTGTCTTTCAGGCTAACAGGACGCAGTCCCTCAACTATGGCTGTATTGTTGAGAATCCACAGACACACGAGGTGAAAACAAAGGGGGCTGGGTGGGTACCTACTCATTTCATCATCCCCCCACCCAACACCTCTAGAGAATGCTGGGATGCTTTGGGGTGGGCCCCAATCTTGTCAAGCAGGTGGATATTCCCCAGTTAATCATTTTATATCCCTTGAAAAGAGACTGGCTAGGAGGAAGGGGGAACAGTTGATATCCCTGGGTATAGTGCTCTAATAAATGTAGGTACAGGGTATTATGGGAACAAAAAGCCAGGGCGAGGGAGGACCCAGCCTCTTCCCTAAGTGGGAGTGGAAAGGGCTTCCCGGAGGAAGCTAGATCTGAGCTGAAGAAGGAGACAGGAGGGCGCTGCAGGCAGAGGGAATGGCATGTGCAAAGGCTTGGAGACAGGAAATAGCATAATGCTCCATAGCTATGGAGGTGGGAGACAAGGCAGAAGGGCTCTGTCCCTGTTTATGAAACTCCCTGCCCCTTAGCCTGATTGACTTTCACACACCCCTTTTATTTGTTCCCACTTTAATATAAAACATACACAGGAACATACATGTACCCACACACATGCACAGATATCTACATACATAGTTTTGTGCCAGGCACCAGGTAGGTGTGAGAGGAACAGAGCTAAAAGTGCACAGTCCCTGCCTCTCAAGCATCCTCTGTCTAGGGGAAGAGATGGTCAAAAGCCAATCTTTGCAAATGACACAGTGTCACGGGGGAGATGTGACCAGAGACTGGGGGTGCTCAGGCATGAATAGCTAACTCTGGGGACGACAAGAGGACTCACAGAGGGAGTGGCGATGTCAACTGGGTTTGGGAAGGGAGGTTTTCCAGATGAAGTGATGGGAGAGGACATTGCAGGCACTGGCATACAATGGCAGGGAATTGTGTCTGGGAAGAGGAGATGGGAAATATCAGGCAGGGAAAGGCACGGACTGTGGGCTGATCTGAAGATGAATCTGGTGAATCTCAGGGTTTAAAGCCAGGCAGTAGCAGGATGCATGCTGCATTTTAGGAAGACCACCTTGGCAGCAGGGAGGGCCTGGAGATCAGAGGGTCTTAGGGGACTGTGGTCTCTTCCTCCACTGAACCCAGCCTTCCCTGTCCTCAGGTCCTGCACTATGTGGAGAAACCCAGCACGTTTATCAGTGACATCATCAACTGTGGCATCTATCTCTTTTCCCCGGAAGCCCTGAAGCCCCTTCGGGATGTCTTCCAGCGTAATCAGCAGGATGGGCAATTGTGAGGCAGGCCCCATGGCCCTGTAACCCCAAGTTCCCCCAGTCATGGACCCTGACACACACCAGTCTCTACAGGCTCCATCTCAACCTGCTTACCTTCCTCCCCACTCCTCCCTTCTTCACTTGTCATTTCCAGCTGAGCCTCCAGAGTCCCTCCCCTTCTAACCTCATTCTGTCCCTCTTCCTTATCCATCCCAGTTCCTCCTCTGTCACCGCCTGCCCACTCCCCTTCTGGTCCATTTCTCTCAAGCCCTGAGTGTCCCAGAGACGTCTTCCAGAACAGACGGCAACACACAGTTGGGCGCACACGCACTCGGGTGCAGACACACACACACACACACACACACACACACACACACACACATTCTCTCTCTCTCTCTCTCTCTCTCTCTCTCTCCCCCCTCTCTCCCCCCCCCAACTCACATGTACTCTCAGGCTGAGGCTCCCCTTGGAATGTAGCACCCAGAGCCCTACTCGCCACAATCCCAGGGTTCTCCCTCCTAGTCCTAAAAGCTGTTCTAGGGATCTCTTGCCCTATACCCCCAACCCACCCATGTTCCCATCTCATACTCTGCTCATAGCCATTTCTCATTCCCACCCATGTCTCTGCTTCTCTCTCCATCTCTCCTGGCCTCTCTCTCTCTGTTTCTGCTGAGCTGGCATCTCTACCATCTCTCTCTCCCCCTTTCTGTGACTGTCTCTGCCCTCACCAGCTGCCTTGCTCTGGGGTGAGTCTGTCTGTGTTTCATTCCATCCAATGAATGGGAGGTGACTTGGGGCGGGTGGAGGGCTGAGGGGAGAGGAGAACATGAAGATGGGGGAACTCCTTTGGGTCTGGGGCAGGGATGAGAAGTGGGTCTCTGCCTGGGGCTCCCTTGTGATAGCACCTACCCGAGCTGGGGCGGGGTAGAAGAGGTTCCTAGGATCTGAGCCGCCCTTTGGAGGAACTGGCCAGACCTGCAGAAGGGCTTGGAGAGGTGGTGGGGATCCCTCTGACTCCTGTTTGGCTGGTTGACTGTGTTAGCCCCACAGTCAGGACTCAGCCAGGGAGCCAATGTTGGCGTTTTTCCTCTCTGCCAGGGAGGACTCTCCAGGCTTGTGGCCGGGGGCAGGTACCATCCGTCTGGAGCAGGATGTGTTCTCAGCCCTGGCAGGACAGGGCCAGATATATGTGCACCTCACTGATGGCATCTGGAGCCAGATCAAGTCCGCAGGGTATGAGAGGGTGAGAGTAGAGGCTTCGGTGACTCTGATGGGGAAGTTGGGTTGCCTGAGGGTCGAGACTTTGGGGTGGTGGGCACAGGCCCTGCTGGCCTCTGAGCCCTATCCCCCTTTGTGGCCTCCAGTTCAGCCCTCTACGCCTCCCGCCTCTATCTGAGCCGATACCAGGTCACTCACCCAGAACGACTGGCCAAGCACACCCCAGGGGGCCCACGAATCCGAGGTACCTACTCTGCCCCAATTCTTTTTTTTTTTTTTTTGAGTTGGAGTCTCGCTCTGTCACTCAAGCTGGAGTGCAGTGGCACGCTCATGGCTACTGCAGCCTCAACCTGCTGGGCTCAGGCGATCCTTCCAAGTAGCTGGAACTACAAACGTGTGCCACCACGCCTGGCTAATTTTTTGATTTATAGTAGAGACGAGGCCTCACCAAGTTGCCCAGGCTGATCTTGAACCCCTGGACTCAGGCAATCTCACCTCGGCTTCCCAAAGTGCTGGGATTACAGGCTTGAGCCACCGGGCCTGGCCTCCCAATTAACCTTGACTTTCCACCTCAGACCCTATGCCCTCTGAGCCCAGGTTCCTGACCTCAGGTCCAGAGTTTGTGTCTCAATCCCTGCCCCTCCCATTCAGATATGGTTTGGGGTATTTGCCCCCAGGGCCTCTCTTCTGCTTCTAGGAAACGTGTACATCCACCCCACAGCTAAGGTGGCCCCATCAGCTGTGGTAAGTGGTGAACTTTGCCCCAGGAAGAGGAGGGGGTGGTCAGGGTGGGTGGGTGATACAGGTTCTGCCTACGCTCCTGGTGCTACTCTCCACTTTATCACAACCTGTGGCTTTGAGCAGGTTGCCCCTCCCTTACGTGTTCTAGGAGGGACTTGGACTTGGCTTATGGTATGTGCTCTTCTCCACAGCTGGGCCCCAATGTCTCCATCGGGAAGGGGGTGACCGTGGGTGAGGGTGTGCGGCTTCGGGAGAGCATCGTCCTCCATGGAGCTACATTGCAGGTAGGCACCAAGGCGCACAGCGGCATGTGGTGCCCTGCAAGGAAGTAGGGAGGGCCCAGAGCAGGCAACGGTGAACTTCGTGGGCTCTACCTCCGTCCCCGCCTCACACCGTCCTGTTCCTCTGCTTCCCTGCCCTCACCTCATGCCACCTTGTTTGGCAGGAACACACCTGTGTTCTGCACAGCATCGTGGGCTGGGGGAGCACCGTGGGGCGCTGGGCCCGTGTGGAGGGTACTCCCAATGACCCCAACCCCAATGATCCCCGAGCTCGCATGGATAGCGAGAGCCTCTTCAAGGATGGGAAGCTGCGGCCTGCCATCACCATCCTGGGTATGTCTTCCTGGGGAGCCCAGGGCTGCGAGAGCAGTCCTGCAGGTGAAGGCCAGTGGCCTGTGGGGAGCGTTTGTTCATCTGTGTGTGCGTGTGATTCTTCTTTTAGCAAAGTGCCTGCTTTAGTCACAAAGTGCCTGCTGTGTGCCAGGTTCTGTGTGAGTCACTGGGGGCAGAAGGCCAGGGGCGCATATGGGCAGGAGGGATCCCTCCCTGCTGGCAGTGGCCCCCAGCTCCCTGCCCCTGTCTGTCCTCCCATGACCTCCCCCTGGTACCCCCTGTCCAGGCTGCCGCGTCCGGATCCCTGCTGAGGTGCTCATCCTGAACTCGATTGTTTTGCCACACAAGGAGCTGAGCCACAGCTTTACCAACCAGATCATCCTCTGAGGGGGGCCTGCCAGAACGCCCCCAACTCCTACCCGCTCCCCTCGAGCTGCTGCCTGCTTGGCCAGCCAGTGTCCAGAAAGGACCAGTGAAAACCAGCAGGATCTTCACGTGCCGGGGAGCAACGTGGGTGGCCTGGGGACTTCTGGGCTCCCTCCCTACTCCCTAATAAACCCCGTGAACCTTGGTGCCAGCACGGACTCTGCTTGTGCCTGGGCTGGGGGTGGGGGCGGAAGCGGGGCAGCTGAGTCAGGCCCCCCCACATTAGCATTTAAATTGGAGTCGTTGCTGCGGGCTCATGAATAATGAATCTGGAGCCCTGGTAAATCTCCCCCTCCCACTGCCTCAGCCTCTTGCACTGCTCAGGAGGAAGGCCCTCAAGTTCCCTACCTGATGGTCCCTGCTTTTGCCCCTGGTTCCTACTCACTGGGCCTGGCTCAGGCACCAGGAAGGATTCTGAAGGGAAAGGTGAAGGATTTCGGTCGGGCAGCAGGCACAGGAACTGGGGGCGCAAGCCCGGAGGCTGTCCCCCAGCAGCCCGTGCCGCTTGGTTCCCGCCGCGCCCCAGCCCTGGCCTGTTTTCCGCTTTGCCAGCTCCATCTGCTCCCAGCCTGGCTTTTGGCGGGGTGGGGGTTTTGCCTCCGCCCGCCGGAGGCCTCGCATCTCTGTCTCTTCTCCCCTGGCAGGCAGGGCGGGCCTGAGTGGGTGCCATTCTCTCCGGAAACACAGTGGGAGGCACCCTGTTCCATGAGGGGCCCTGGCTGCCTCCCATCACCCTGGCTCTGCCCTCTGGGAGGTTTCAGCCCTCCTCTCCACCAGTTCTCATGTTTGCTCATGACCCCCGCGTGCCCCTCTTGGTGCCCCCCTTTCCCCAGCTGTGGGTGCGGAGCTGAGTTGCCAGATGAGCTGGTAATGATCGTAATCTGCTAATTGAGAGGAATCTAATTACCCGAAGAGAATGGGGGGGAGCAGGGCGTGGGTGGGAGGGAGGAGGGGGTCCTGGCAGCAGGCAGGGGTGGCAGGCGGCAGGGTGCCGGGCCTTGTTATCAGCACCGGGGTCTGGGACAGAGCCCAGGATTTCATGGCTTCATAGCCGGGCAGTTAGGAAGATGTGCTTTCTCAGAAGCTGGACTGAGAGTGACAGGGGAATCGGGCTAGATGTCGCCTCGACGTGCCCTCAGGCCCTGTGGGCTGTGGCACATCGTGTGGAGAGTGACCCAGGTCTTAGCAGTCCTGACCTATAACCTGCCTTTACTCGGCCCCTTTCCCCGTATCCTGTCCCAGCCTCTAGTTCAGACTTGCATCATCTCTGCAGGGGGGTGGGGGCGGGCAGGGTGTTGTAGGATCCCACTCTGGGCCTGGGGTCATCGCCCCAAGGAAGGGGCTGGGAGAGGATGGGTCATAGGGCCAGGATCTGGGTCCTTCCCTCTCCTCCCCCCAGCTCTGACCCTTCTGTTCCAAGTGGTTGGCAGAGGCCATGGCAGCTCCATCATAAATATGATAATTTAATTATTTTCTCAGCAAAACACCGTGAAATCCAATAAGTCTGTGTCAGGCCCTGGCCCCCGGGATCCCCCTCCTAGACCCAGTGGGGGTGGGGACATGGTGAGGGGAGGCACTGGAAGGGGAAAGGGTCAGTGTTGGAAGGGGGGCAGCTGGTGAGGCTGAGATCTTTGTGACATGTTCTTCACCGTGCCCCCTCCACCCCGCAGGCTGAGGAAGTCACTGTTGTGTGGTGGGGGGGTCTAAGAAGGACAGAGATTGTGATGCACCCACCCCTCTCCAGCCCTTTTCTGTGCTGGGAGAGACCTAAAGCCTCATCCCTCTCTGAAGGGCCCAAGATATGGAAGCACCGTGCCTCTGGACGGGGAGCAGGGAGCCCCCTTACCCACCACTGCTGGGACCCCACTCCCAACCCTCACTGGCCACGTAGGGTTTAAGAGGGTGCCAGCCCTGGGGAGGGATTGAGAAGGGAGACAAGACAAGAAGGAACCAGGGTGGGAAGTGGGGGGATGAGCAGGGGGAGGGATGCGGGGGAGGGGTGTGCTCCTGCCATTAGCGCTTTTTTCGGTTTCCATAAAAAGATTATTCTGTAAAATCAGCGAGGGGGAGCAAGCTGGGGGCTGGGGAGGGGGGTGGGTCCCTGGCACCAAGCTGGATGGGGCGACAGGGGAGGAGAGCTGGGGACAGGGACTGAGTGTGGAGAGAAATTTGGATGGGCTTCAGGAGCCAGCGAGGGGGAGAGGCTGAGCCAAGAACACAGACGGGGGAGGCTGGCCAGGCCAGGGTGGGGCGGGGCAGGGCCCTCATCTCCCTCCTGTCCCCTTGGCCAGGCTGTCCGGGGCCCCAGTCCCACCTCAGTCTCCATCCCCTCCTCCTAGCACTTAGCAGCCATTATCGGGGGAGCAGATTGCAGCCCCCTCCCCCTCTCCGGGAAGCAGGCACAGCTGGGGCCCCACCACATCTGCCGCATCAGCACGGAGCACAGCTGGGTGTGCCCAGAGCCGCGCTCCCCAAAACACAAAGGGAGTGGGTGGGGGCCAAGGAGAGTCCAGACCCCTGAGACAGACACTGACACCTCTGCCAACAGACACATACTCCTCGAGGCGAAGCTACACCCACCAACACGCGCTCCCTCGTGTGCAGAGACGGGAGAACTAGCAAACACGCAATTACCCGGCCCCGCCCGCCTCCCCCGCTCTCCTCCCCCAGCCCCTCCTTCTCCCCTTCCCACCCCCAGGCTCCGTTCTGCCACTGTGGCCACCTCTGAACTGCCCTGGGCACTCGTCTGGACGGAGCAGGGGCCTCACCCACCCCAAGCACATCCTTTGGGGAGGCTCAGAGAGCCAGAGGGAAGAGGTGGCGAGGGGCATCGGGCTCGAGGCGTGAGCCACAGGAAGCCAACTGCACGCCTCCCAAGCCCACACCCCTCACAAAGAAGCCTCCTCTGAAACTCTGGTCCTTGCCACGGCCTGGGCATGATAGGTCATCGGTGCCAGGACAGGTCCCTGTGGCATTCTTGAGTTCCACTGGCTACCTCTAGGAGGCGCTGTGTGTCCTCAGTCAGTCTAGTCTTCCCCTCCATGGCTCCCAGTGCTGGCCCCTGCCACTTGCCCCGCCCCCCAAATCCACCTGCATCCTGCCCTCAGCAGTGCGTCTCTCTGCCTAGCCCTGCTGCCCCTGACATGTGCAGGGCCGGGGCTCTGTCAGCAGCAGAAAAGTACCCCTCCCCGGAACAGATGATGAGGAGTTCCTTCTCTCCTTTCCCAGTCGATGACCACATCTTGGCCCTTGATAAAATCCTGGCCCAGCGGCAGCCCTCACTTTCCCCACTTATCTCCTTGGCGCTGGTGTCTTGCCCTCAACCCTCTCCTCCCTGCCCCCCACCCCCACCCCATCCCACACAGCCCCCCCCCTTGCCCCTCAGAGCTTTAATCCCTCCTGCTGCTGTGCCGCCTTATCTGCTCCCAGCAGCTTTCGCTGCTGCAAAGCCCTCTCCCCCTCCTTCTCTGGATCTTCTCCCCCTCCTTTCCCAGCTCTGTCTGCTCCCTGACCAGCCCCCCTTCCTGGCCAACCTGTCTCATCTACTTACTTGGGCCCCCAGCATGGCTCCTGGCTGACACCAGCTCTCTCCAGCCTCAGTTCCAAGGTTTCGGGCAGCGCAGCCCACCCACTCCCACAAGCGCCGCTTCCGTCCCAGCCCTCCCCCACAGACCCCACAGACTTTGCTAGTTTCCGGCCAGCCAGGATTTTTCATCTCCTTCCTGCCCTCCCTCTCCTAGTCCCGTCCCCAGTTCCTCCTAATGCCCTCCCACCCCCACGGTGGACCTGGGCCCCTTCAGTCCCAGTGACCCGTCGCCTCTGCTGGAGAGTGCCCCAAAGGCGATGGAGATGTTGGTACCAGACACAGGAGAGGGTGCGGGGCTGGCCCTAGGAGGAAAGGGGTGGGGGTGCAAAGAGTACTGGCAGACAGTGGGGGCAGGGCCTGGTGGTGGGACGCTAACCCTCTTCAGTCGCCTCAGATCACGTTCGGGCCTCCCCACCCCCCTTCGCTGGGACTCTCATTAACCGCTTCTCCTGCCTCGTCCGCGGCATAAATAACCCAGATAAATCAGCCGCCGTCCGCCCCCCGCCCCTCGCCCCCGCACAGCCCGTTTGTCACCGCTGCTCGCTCACCAGCCAGGCCTGTCCCGGCCCGGCCCCCCCATCCTTGTCCCTTCCCGCCCACATCTGTCCCACACTGGCTCATCCCGTGGTCCGCACCAGGGCCAGGTGTCTGGGCTGGGAGAGTGGCAAGCGGGCATCCCCTGGGAGCAGGGGGAGGCTGGGACTCTTTCTAGGAGAATGCTGTCTAGGAGCTTGGGGGTCATCGTTTATGAATGGGGCCAGTCAGCAGGGAGTCTGGAAGTCAGCTGGGGATGCCTGCACGGTGAGAAAAGGCACCCTTGGAAACCCCAAGTTGGACCCTAAGGATGCCTCCAGGTCTCCCTTTGGGGCATTTTGCCCAAACAAGACCTCCACGTTTCCTTCCCGTCACCCCCTCATTCTCTGCCCCATCCCTATGCCCTGCCTCGTACTCTAATTTCTGCCTCTCTGTGTACCACTCTTTCATCCCCTGGGGGATGGAGACTTGGACTGGGAGCAAATTCGGGGAATGGGGCACTGGAAGGGCAGAGGAACCATGGATGAGGCTTGACATTCGGACCTGAGACAGCCCCTGCCCTGCACTCTCAGCCCTACACTCTTTGGTCCCTCACGGCCCCACACTCTTTGTTCACACCCAGCTCAGGTCCCAGCCCGCACACTCGCCCTGATGCTTCCCCGCCAGGGGCAGCTGGTCCCCTGGGAGTGGGTGGGGGAAGCGGGAAGGGGT